ACTTTTTACGATAACATGATTTTAGCTTTTGAGTAAATACTTTATCTGGACATTGTAGTTTTATCCTGAGTAAAATCAAATACTCCTCGATAGTTGGCACCAAATCTTCCTGATTAAAAGTAAAGCATCTATAGGATGGATCTCAAAATTGTATAGTTACCTTGACCAGCTTGTTCATCGATCACTACTGAAATGAGGGATGCAATCTACCCATATTTTTTGTAAAAGCTTTCTTTTCTTTTTTCACTTAACTGACCCTAGATAGCAGCTAACTCTTTTAAATCATTCTGTGTGAGATTTAAATGCACTTTCTTAGGTAATTCAGACACATAACTAGCAGCAAACAATCTCCGTTCTTTTGTTGAGCTTCTTTTGACCAAACATATACTTTATTATACATCTCACATGGCATACTGACTGAGGATGAGCAAATTTATAGTTTTACAAGATCTATAAAAACTTCTTAGGAGAAATATGTCCTAGAGCAAATATCTCGATGTAGAACTGTATGATATGATTAATGCAAAAAAGAAAATGAAACAAAATTGAGTTAGTGTGGTTTGAGAAAAAAATATTTTTTTTTTTTTAGTGTTTTTTTTGTTTTGAGATTTTTTTGTTTTGTTTTGTTTTGTATTACGCATAACTTTTATTCTTAGGTATTTCCTACAAGAAGGTGGACAAAGCTTTACATAAGGCTGGTTTTCTAGGCTTATTATATGCTGGGTTTGGATTAACAGTGTCTAAAAGTTTCCAAATTATTCTTCACTGTCGTCCGTGTTGGACTAGTAAGGTACTCCGATCCTTACCCATTACAGGCTACGAACAAAAAGGGTTCAATTCAAGTGAAAGTATTTCGCTTGCTATTAAGGAGGTTATCACTTCACGAGAGCATAGGTACTTTACTTCTTCCTATAAAGGACAGAGCCTGGGTATAGAGCTCATGCATGAGATGCATCATACCATTATGTGCAAATATATCCTAATTTATTGAGAGTAATATATACAGAAAAATAAAAAATAAGAGACATAGTAAAAGAAATGTGTGTGAATTTTTTTGCTTTTTATTTTCGATTTGTTTTGTTTTTTATTTTTGACCCTTTTTTAAAAAAAATATATAAATCTAAGAAATTGATTAAGACTATTTAAATCAAAATTTGAAGATAACAAGTAGTTAATTTTAGCCTGACTCTTGAAAATAAAAGGCAGTCCCCAGTAGAGTTGTCAAGTTGTCGTAATGATTTTGTGTCTGTCCGACGAATTTGGAAATGAAATAAAAAATAACGGAGTCGCCACCAATCTTTTTTTGGCTAGGTGCGATTGGCCAGCTATTGAAGCATATCCTATTTAATGATATCTTAAAATTAATTAAAATTTATTAAAAAAATAATTTTAGGGTCTACGCAACAGTTGGGGTTCGGGAGTCAGTTACGTATGGAGAAGGATAAGCACCTCCACAGCGCCCGTCTAAGAGGGTACCAATTAACTACATGTTATCCTTCGATTTTGATAAAAACAATCTTATTTTCGGTATTTGAAAATTAATTTTCTTGATTTTTTTATTTTTTTATTTATTGTTTTTATTTTCAAATATTATTCGAGAAAAATAAATTAGAACATTTTTATTGAAATAATTCTTAAAATGTTTCAGTACGTTGGTAACATTAAAAGAACTCTTTCTCACCTAAAGATTTCTTAAGGCATCACTTCTCGGAATACCTTAGAATCTCATCTTTGGAGGTTCAAATTTACTTTTCGTAAAAAATTATGTCATGTATGCAATGCAAATAATAACATGTTGATACGCACATTTTTATTCTCTTTTTCAAAAATTTTATTAATTGTTTTATAATTAAATTTTTTTTATTTTAATTTTGAAGGAAAAAAAATTTTATTGTATTGAAGTTTTTTCTATAAATATTCTAATACACTGGTAATATTTTAAAAAAAATCTTCTCACCTAGAGATTTCTTAAAGCATCTTTACTCAAAATACTTTTGGAATCCTATCATTGGATAAAATTTTCTTTTTTCTTATTTATATTATTATTTTTTAATATATTAATTAATTTTTATTTATTGTTAACAAAAAAAAATTTATTGTATTGAAAAATTTTTATAAATACTTCAATACACTGGTAGTATTTAAAAAAATTCTTCTCATCTAGAGATTTCATAGGCATCACTGCTCGGAATACTTTTAAATCTCATCATTGGATAAAATTCCCTTTTCTTATATTTTTTATCAATTTTATATTATTAAATATTATAAAAATTTATTTTGATAAATTTAAATATTTTTACATGCATAAATATTAATAATAATAATAATTAAAATAACAAAAATAATATATAAAAAAATCTTTAAAAAATTCAAAGAAAAATTTTGTTGTTCAAACCTTTGGCACCCTTCCCCCAGTTTTGAAAGGTTAGTTGGTGACATGGCTGGAGGTCAGATGTAGCAAAGCTTTGTGTTGAAACAATCTCACATCTCCTCTCTTTCATCTTTTTTTTTTTAAGGGAATTTAATTTGATATTCTCAAAATGTTATAAAAGAATTTTTACATGTGAAACTTTTAAGTAACAATATGAAAGTTATTCTATAAATTTCGTCTTAACAACTTTTATTCTATAATTTATATGCTTCATAAATGCACGCGGATGATGTAATACGTTAATATTATTATTTGAAATAAAATTTTTGTCAAAATAATTAAATTTGTACTTTTTATTGTAAAGCATAGTGCATTTGGATGGTTATTATATCGAAGAATTTATTAATTTAGTTTATTTAACTTTAATAAATGACTAATGTTAGCTACATGCTTTAGGTTAAACCAATAAAAATGAGCTTTAATGAAGTTTGAAAAATCTATTAATTTTTTTCATTTTAGTGTATGCAATTCCCTGATAGATGATTAAAATTTTCTTCCTAAATCTATTAGATGGTTTTTTTGGTAAATTATATATAAATATATATTAAAAAAACAACAAAGATGACAATAATATTTTTATGATTAAAAATTATAGTTGAAC